TTTAGGGGCTCAAGTTCACCATTGGGAGCCCAAACAGAGGGCTGTGGTAAGCTGTGGAGTGTTCAGTTCAGTTTTGTAGACCAATAGTGGGCCATATGACAACGAAAATAAGTCAAATTTAATGGATTAGTATAGTTGGACACTGGAACAATGCCCTCAATGATGTGGAAACAAATCGTGAATTTTGTTGGAATTTTGTGGCGAATTGGGGTGGTGGCGGTGAGGACGCACATGACCGCAAAGAACGGACCGCCGCTAGGGGTGGGAAACTCCTTCCCTTTATGGAAGGAGGGAGGGGGAGGTGGGGTCCAAGGAAGGTTGAAAAAAACTTTTCGACCCTATATCCTTTTTTCGAATCCTGATTCCCCCTTGATAACAACTATAGCGCGCCATTGTGGCAGAGCCCACTAATACTACGGATGAAACATACAGGATCTGTATGGTATGTAGTTTCTTAGAACGTTGACAAAAAATGATCACAACGCGCGCTTCCGAATCCGGGGTCACCACAATGGGACACCATCTCGTAGACAATCTAGAGATGTGTTATTGGTGTATATTGTTACATCCACACATTTAACAAGTGGTGCACGAGGAATTAGCCTACGCAAACACAGGACATTCCTATTGATGTCCCAAACCAAATTGATCCAACTTCCTGGATCCATTTTTATCCGCTCCTCTTCGCCGCCACCCTGAAGCGGACATCAAGCGGTATTCAGTGCGACATCTGTTCTTGCAGACCTGTTTGCTCTCTCAACCCCCGTTGTGGCCCCCATGTTTCACGAAAACGTACAATAAAATGCATCGAAATGACCATTTAATGGCTCACTATACTGTAGAACCTACTTCATCTCATATTGAAAATCTATTTCCTCGAAGTTTTCGCATTAGATAGAGCCTCAGTCTAATTATTGAAAAATATATCGTGAAATAAGTGCGGGAGAAAGATGTAGAAAATCGACATGTAAGGTGGGGCCCAAGTTTCGCTCGGTCAGTATATCAACCAGCTTGCGTTGGGCGAGTGAACCCCGAGTCCATATGGGATCCACCTCTGGGTCTACTCCGTTGATCCCACCGCTCAGCCCATTAGGATAATGCGAATCACATCGATGACGGTCCAAAAATCATGGGCCAGATTTCAAGCGATGTCGACGCGACTACCGTGCGTGCTTGAGTGACTACGAATTTCTGAAGCAAATGTTAGCATGCCACGAAGAGCGAGCAGAAGTGGTGTTGACTGACGGAATTGCATTTTCAGTAAAGGCATGACAAGATAGTCAACTATCAACTATGATTCTGCGAGTCTGCGAAGCAAATCTGAAGAGAACGTGAGGAGAGCACATTAGTGAAAGTGGCGTGGTCTCACCAAAGTTAAGCACGTCGTTATCGCCGATAAAGCAGGTCAACTCTGCATGTCAACTAATCTGCGAAATCATTGTTAGGACAAGCAACCCGAAAGTGGCATCAACTTAATGAGTTACATCTACACACACCGGCACCTGCGAGGCCCGAGATCTGGATAGCAGGGTACAGCACAAACTAGCACCAGCATGGGAGCAAAGGACCATACTCAGCAAGGCGTGATCCTGGATATTGCCACGGCTCAACGTTACCTTACGTTGAGGTCCAGGAATATCGAAGCTTGAGGTGATGATCCAGAACTTGACCTAGCAAGAGAGAGAGAGTGCAGAAACAGACGGCGAGAATCGAAAACCATAGTAAAATTTGAGGACTGTATTGAACAAGCAACGAGTGGCTGGAAGGATTTGCGCTGAAATTTATCCTGAACTTGCGAGAGGATAGAGGCACACGACGAAAGCATCCAGAAGGAAGCAGAGACCCCAAGCCAATGAAATCAAGCAGGAGCACAGGTTCACAGGTCTTGCCAGGGGTCTGAGGCAATTTTTGGGGGAGTGGAGGATATCCCAGACTTGCACAGGGAGATGACATGGGTTGACTGGGGGAGGGGAAGATGGGGGGAAAGGATAAGTGTCGTCGACGTGGCAAGATGGCGGTGTTCTCCTGTTAACCGACCGGCTAACTCGGATTCAATGATTGGTGGCCAAATCAGACAAGGAAAAGGGAGCTCGGACGACCAGAGACTCAAAAACAAGGTCTCTAGAATTGGATCACAAAAGCCGACCAAAAACGACCCTCGTTTTGAAATTTTGCTGGAACTATAGTAAATTCAGGTGGTACAGGACCCACTACCTAAAATTAGTAGGCATTATTTATTCTAAGTTGATTCACAGAGCTGAATTTTAAGGCGATCCAAAACTCGCTCGGTTGACGTGTGATCATCAACAAGCTCGCATTGGGTCGCAATTGGTCCAGCCATTTTGGGCCAGAAATCTTAACTGTCACCGTCACCTATGTAGACCCCAAGTTTTCATTTTTCAAGGCCGTCACCTGAACATTTGGTCGGATTACTACAGTAGGGCGCCAACCCTTGCCTAAAGGTAGGGGGAATTTTTGATGGTTGGGGTTCATGCGACATCGGGCAATTTCGGACACAACATTTTGGGGATTACGCAAATTCAGCCGGGGAATACATGGCAACTGATGGCCGCGTGCGGCAGGGTTGAACCACGAAACAAAAATGCCAAATTCATTGCAGCGGATTTGGACAGTAACAATCTGTATATTGCACCAAAAAACACCAGAAAAAGAGGAAGGCAACAGATGATAAAGGGCTCCGAGTGGAGTCGAAATGTTGTGCGAACAACTCTCTATTGCTGTGTTTTTGAACAATGACACCCTCGATATGACGAGATTTTGTTTGTCCTTGTAATGAAAATGTGATCCACTGCAAGTGGCTGAAGTTAGGGCGCCCTATAAGAACCCTTACCTAACGGTAGCGGGAATAAGTGCTACATCGCATTAAATGTGAATTGTCGCGAGTCGCGACCTACTCTCCGCCACGGTGTGACCGTGACACTTCGCTGGTACTCTCAACGTCAACACCAGATCCCCTCGACTGAAATTGCCTGGATCTGGTGAGCATTCACACAGGAAAGCGGTTGGTTTGAGGGTAGCTAAAGTGCTCACCGAATCCATAAGCACAACGGATTAGCAGTTGGTTTCAGGGTAAAGGGTGTGAACCGAACTCCAAGTACCATCTAAAATGTATCGTTTCTGCGCGGTCGAGGCGGATGCCGAAGTTGCCGACTTCGGCATGCCTTTCAGGCGTCCCCAAATTGCTCGTTTTGGACCGGACTTCCACCGTGCTGACACGGCGCCTGAAACTAACAGTTTCAGCGCCAGGATTAACAGCTGCCGAAGCATAGGTTTCGGGATCACTTTCGGTGGTTCCCTGAAACAATAGGCTTCAACCGTCTCGAAACGACGTCTTTGCGAGGCCCATGGCTATACTCCGGGTGATTTTTGCATGGAAGCAGCGGCAAGGCAGCCGATACCCCGAGTCTCATAGCCCTCGCTCCAAATCGGCCGATACCATCCAATTTCGAAGCCAGAGGGGACCATCGACGTCGGGGACCGGTGCTAAATGGAACAGGGGTGAATCCACCAGAACAGATAAAATGGTAGATAAAGAAACACCAAATTGAGACTATGTACATTGTACGGACTGGCGGATTCGATAAATTGATTCAACGCTGGCTAAAGTACTCGTACAGTGAAAATGTGTCGAGTGTGATGATCAGTGCAAACTGGACACTCATCAGGATAGTCTAATTACGGGATGGTGCTGGTGCGATTATTCCCACTTCTTCAAGAGCGCAGCACCGTTGATCGTCATTGACATCTGGATCCGTTGGGATGACTCCTTCGATCGCATTGCAGCGCAGTGAATCAATTTCCGCATCCTGGAGACCGTTAATGGAGCGATGCGACCCTGCACCTCAAATCATGAGAAAGAAGTTCAGATTTCAGCTATCTAGAGGACGTACCATCTCGCTCGTTTCCGGATTCGGCGAAAGCCTCTTTCTCCGAGACTCCGTCAGAGACCATTCCCAGATTTTGCTGAGCGTGGATACAGCTCCTGTAGAATTGGTTGTAGTAAGTGTGTGAGGCACGCAGAACGTGAACAGGTGGATGCCAAATAATTGAATTAATTAATATTATTCCTTCGGCCACGCCTCATGCCATCGATTGAAGGATTACATATTCTTCCAGGTTCCAGGGACCATAGGAGGGCCCGTGGCATACGGTATGGATCTGCCCACCATCAGTTGGGAGGACACTGATTTCTGGTGCAGATACCCCGTTCGAGTCGGGGGTGGGCGTTAGTGGTACTTGTATACTTTTTTCCCCTCAGTGCACTCTGGGCTGGCCGCCCGCAATTATAGGCTCTGCTCTTAGACTTATTACCATTCTTGGGTTCATTTACATCGTCACGCGTGGCTGTCGCAAAATCTCAAGTAGGATGGATGAGCACCCTGCAGCCAATTGATAACTCGAGCTGTGCTGAGATCCAATATTCTGCATTGAAGGGGAGAGAGCCCCTCACGCAATGAGGGACTCACAGAACATAGCTCCGGTAGGATATGGTATGCATATGCCATTGATAGGGCTGGCCGCCATACATATGCAGATAACCTGGTTCGACTCCGGGCTGGGCCATGGCGAGGCTTGGCATGTTTTTTTCTTCCGCTAATTCTGCTTTATGGATTCACACGATTTGAACGGTTGGTGTGAATACTTCCTCAGGACAGTTACAGTAGGTGTGGCGGGCAGACGTGAACGGGCGGATGTGGATTAATTATTTCTCCATGGCTAAATAACACTACGTATTCTTCCAGGATCCATGGACCGCAGGAAGGCCCCGTGGCGTGTGGCACACCATGGGTTGGTTGCATATTGATTTCTACCCAGTTCGAGTGTGGGAGGGGCCGTGGATATGAACAAGGGGATATCCTTTTTTCGGGTCTTTTTGGTTGGTTTATTTTAGTGGGCTGAGCTTTTGGGCTTCCCTCATGAATCTGCGGCTGGTTTCTAGCAGAGTGACTCCTTACGAAGGGGCCCACAGAGCACAGAAAGGCCCAGTGGCATATGGTATGCGTCTGCCATTGATGATGCGAATATTTTCAGAAGTATAAGCAGATAACCCGGTTCGACTCCGGGCTGGGCCATAGTTCGAAGGAATATCATTTTTCTTGCAGGGTCCACAGAGAAGTTGCTTTCCCTCAAACATCCAGATAGACAGAGCACAGAAAGGCCCGGTGGCATGCGGTATGCGTCTGCCATTGATATCGATATCATGATGATGCCAATATATCCGAAGTATAAGCAGATAACCCGGTTCGACTCCGGGCTGGGCCATCGAAGGAAAAACATTTTTCTTGCAGGGTCCACAGAGAAGTTGTTTACCTCAAACACCATTTGACATTGCCTTTGAATCAACAGTTCTAGCTCTAGGCTCTGCTCTCAGACTTGATATTTTCTAGGGCTCATTCGCATCACGGCCGCCCCGGAAATTAGTGTGAATGCCTTACAGAAAATAATTCGGGCTATGCTAAATCCCGATGGTCTGAATTGATGAAGAGAGAGCTCATGACTCATGATAGGGGCCACAGAATGAAGCAGGGCCCGGTAGCTTCCGGTATGCATCTGCATACCATTATGTGTTCTTTGAACCTAGCCTGCAGAGGCCCGTTTGACTCGGGGCCGGGCCATTATTGCGGGCTTTCGATTATTTTTCTCAGTTTTATTCAAGAGGCTTCTTGATATACACCCCGCTCAACCCACGGGGAATCTTTCCCCGCGGTTGTTTGAAAACTTGCTTCCGGACTGCAACATTCTGCGATGAATCAGAATGATTCAGTCAGTGCGGGTTGCTACTGTGATTCCACAAAACCCGGAGTCACATTTCCTGGAGTATACTGTATTCAAGACTACAGAGCACAGAAAGGCCCAGTAGCATGTGGTATGCATCTGCACTCCATAGCTCAGTAGTTTGGCTTGCTGCAGAGATCCCGTTCGAGTCGGAGAGGGGCCATAGATTGGAATGAGAAGGTGTTTTTCGTTCTTTTTGTTGGTTTAATGCGCAGACTTTTGGACTTGAAAAACCTTCATACCCTGCGGCTGGGTTCAAACTTCATATTTAAGTGGATGGAGTCAATATACTAGAAGAGTCGCAGATCATGAGCACTGATTGAGCACAGAACGTGGGAAGGCCTAGCATGTGTCCCATAATTCGGATGTATCAGTTCAAAGCAAGCAACCTCGGTTCGACTCCGGGCTGGGACATAATTCGGAGGAATAATAATAATTTTTCCCTGCCTGAATCCACTGTTTTCCAGTCATACGTTCTGGGTGTGCTTCACGTTGGCGTTGCCTTCGAATCTCTCTGCTCTCAAATTTCTACCATTTTTGAGCTCGCTGACAGCATCACGCGTCGGTTCCAGCAAATAAATTGGTAGATCTAATATTCTGCATTGATGAAGTCTCAGAGCTCATCACAGATAATGAAGGCCCACAGAACATAAGAAGGCCCAGTAGCATGCGGTCTGCGTTTGCCATTGATTGAGGCTTTGATTCAGCATAAGCAGACAACCCCGGTTCGACTCTGGGCTGGGCCATCGATCCGTTAGCCGGGTGCTTTTTTCTTTCTCAAATTCAGCTTTTAAAAAAATTCACGTTATGAGCGGTGGGTGTGGATACCGGTAAAATTTCCTCAGGATCAGCCGCAGCATCCGCCCAGAACGGGTGGATCTCATTATTTCTCCACTTTTGCTGTGCTGAATTGCAACGACGAGGGATATCCTAACGAGAAGATAGGAAGGCCCGGTAGCATGCTGCGTCGCCTTGACTCTGTTTTTACTGCCCAGTTTCAACCTTTCCCACGCCACGTCTTCGGCACCGCTTGCTTACGCTCGCCTGCTTACCCACTCCACTCTCTTTCCTCCGCCCACCACTTCCATGTCCTCGCGCCGACTCTCGCTGTACCTTCCACGCTGAGCGACACCAAGCACGCTCTGTTCACCGCCAGTCTCACCTGATCATTCCAACGACTCTAGCGTGGATGGTTAGGATAAGCGTGAGCATGCGCGAGGCGCGCGCGTGGCCTCGTGGGCGGTGTGCTTCGCTACTGGGTCCTTCGTTTTCCCCGTTTTGACTTTATACCACTCAACGGAAATGTTTATAATTACAGATCCTCCTCTTCCCCGCACCCACCCCTGGTGGCGGCACATCTTTTATGCTCTTTCGACTGGTGCTGCACACCGGAGTCTCGCGTTTGTTCAAGGTATGTTCTGTTTTGTGCGGGATGACACACTGCTTCCGTCGACGATGCTTGCTTATTTATTGACATCTATCCTTTCTTTCTTTGCATAAATAGCCCCCGTCCCCGCTACGAGCCTCACATCCGCATCAGCAGCAAACCCAACCCGTTCCTTCCCAAACCCGCGTCCTCACCCGAGTCCCGCCCCCGCCCGCTCCAACGTCAAAAAGTAAATCCAGAGCACCACATCTGCCAGTTAATCCACCTCATCGTCCTCGGCGTCTGCGTCAGTGTCTGCACCCAGGTCCTCCGCGCCAGCGCACAGGCACGGGCACGGGAACACGTACTCCTCCCCCTTCACCGCCGGCGCTTCACCAACTCCATATCCTTCACGAGCTCCAACCTCAACGCCGTCTCGATCGCGAGTAGGAGATTTAATAGGCTCGTGTCCCCGGCGCCGCCGATGCACGCCCTACGCCGCGCGTCGACGCACACGCATACCCAGCGCGCGGCCAGTCGTTCATCGAGTGCGGCAGGTCCCACTCCGACTTTAGCTACAACTAGTTCTGGAGTGTCAAACCCCTTCCGCGCACCGCCCCTCCCGCCACGGCGCGCCTCTACTAGTGCTTGTAGCTCTGCTTCTGCCTCGACCTCGACCTCGACCTCGGCGCCTGTTTCGCCGTTCACGCCGTCGAACGCGAGCTGTGCGACCAGTTCGGACCCGGCCTATACCAGCACGAGTGGTGATTGTAATTATTCCAGTGGAGGCCTAGCACCACGCGCGAGATGTTCGCTCCGGCTGATTTAAAGATTTCCCCAGTTAAACCCAAGCCTTGGAAGACGGGTGGAGATGTTCTGGATAAAGATACGGGCAGAAGTCATCGTGGCCGTGCCAAAGTTCATGCTCTTCAATTTGGTCTAAGGCAGGAGCTTCTCGCTTGCAAGGAGCCGAAAGAGTTCTGGGATTTCGTTCGGAAGCGTACTGATCCCCGCCCTAAACCATCGAAGGTCTCCGTGGATACCCTGTCTAAAGACTTCGAGGCACGGCTAAATTATCCTCAAGTGACGCCTGCTTCGTTCAATTCAGAGCAGCTCGCATTCAATGCTAGCATGAACCGAAAGTTGAAGGCTCCACTTCCTGACATGTCCCCGCGCCAGTCGTGTACTCGAGAGATATCGCTTGAGGAAATTGAAGCCATGAAGCGACATATTATTATAAGGCCCATGGCATCGATACCGCGGTTGGAGTTGACGGTTTTTCGTACCAAGATTGCATGGACATCCCAAACGAGAAGCTGCTCCAATTTCTTCGATACTGTCTAAAGCACCAAGACATGCCTCGGTTCTGGTTGATGTGCCTCTTGATTGGGATCCTCAAAAAGGACAAAGATGCCGCTGATCCCTCAAGCTACCGGCTTATCGCGTTGGAGTGTTGCATGTTAACTTTGATTATCGATCGACGAATCCGAGCAGGCGCAGAAGACTTCGGGCTAATTCCTGTGACCCAGAATGGCTTCCAGGATCATCTGTGAACAAACGACAATGTCTTTGTTCTTCTATCCCTCATTGACAAGGCTGATGCACTTGGAAAATCACTTTACGTGGCTTACTTGGATCTTAAGAATGCTTTCCCGGGAACTGATCGGTCTACGCTTTGGGTTAAACTTGCGACGATGGGAATCTCGGGCCCAATGATTGAGTGGCTTAAAAAACTGTATGATCACATCCGCTACCTTGTCTGGTTGGATGGCCGCTTTGCGCCGGCTTTCAGGTCTCTGCTAGGCATTCTGACCGGTGATCCAGGCTCTCCTCATCTTTGGAATCTCTTCATGGCAGACTTTGTCCCGGCTTGGCACCCCGAGGATATTGAATTGAACGGCGTTCCAATCACAAATGTTGAACATGCGGATGACATTATGACTGCATCGGGTGCACCCTCTGGGTTCCAGGCCCATCTCAACGGCTCACAATGCTGGGCGGATAACAATGGCTGTGAGACATCCATCCCCAAATGCTTGTACCAATTGTTTGGGCGGAAGCAAAATGGTTCCCCGAAGTTTCATCTGGGCAGCAACGCAGTCAAGCAAGTTCACAAGGCTTGCTATCTTGGAGTGTGGTTTGAAACTGGTGTGAAATTTATCTGGACAGAACAATACAAGGTCAAAGCCCTGAAAGCGGCCACAGTTGCAAATGTTTTGTTGGGCCTTGATCGTTTCGTTGGCAGTTTACCTGCTTGGGATGCCAGAACTCTGTATATGGCCCGCGTTGATCCATATCTTACTGCGGGCTGTGATGTTTGCTTGGATATAGACTTAAAGAGTCTTGCGAGACTGGAACGGGTGCAGGTTAAATTTTTGCGCCGCATGCTGGGTGTTGGACGTCGAAGTATGAAAGCTGTTCTGTTCTCAGAGACTGGTATCTGGCCTATCAAATATCGCCGTGTTCATTTGGCACTGAAATATCTCTGCTATCTTTTGGGACTGGACAGTGAAAGGCCAGCGTCGAATGCCCTTCAGGAATCCATCCATCTTGCTCGCAACCAACAGCTCAGCTGGATGAACGATCTTCTGATCGTACTCTCACGTCTCTATGTGCCCGTTAACTTGAACATTTCTACGGATCTGAACGTGAAAACCGTCGAAGTGGCTATGAAATGCGTAGAGAAATCCATGGAGGCCTGGATTAACCACGAGATTGAGTCCTTCTCACGGGTTAGGGATCTCCTTGTTGGCCGTCTTGAGATGGATTCAGAATCGAGGAAGTTAGTAAAGAAGTCCCTCGATTTCCGACACTACCTGCGAATCGCTTCTCCCGAGCACCGCCGAGCGCTCACGAAAATGGTCCTGTCAAGCCATAGCCTTGCTATAGAACCGCGGCGATGGACTGAGCGTGGCAAGAAATTTGTACCTC